CCCAACCCTACCCAACCCTCATTTTCCCCTTGGTATTTCTTTTCACTTTCCCTTTCAGGCTTGTGCGATTGGAACATGGCAACATCAAGTCAGACATATTTGTTTATACTTCCAAGCTCAACGTAACCCACCCTACCATTCGTCCTCTTATATTTTACGTGAGTTCACACTGATATTGCAATGTGGATGGTTTTTGTATGGTTATATTGAAAGTGTTGTCAAAGACCTCGAAGATCAAGCAAAAAGCATGGAGGGAGGGGTAGGTAGTTTGGTGAGCGGGAAGGGTCAATGCCCCTCCCTTCCACAAAAGCAATGTAAGCACGTCTAAGAGGCCATTTTGTTCTACCACCCAATAGCCAAGTTTCGATAAATTGCAATCCAACCCTGTCCTGCCGATTAGCGCCCTTCTTTCCCGACGCCACTTAAATAACATCGTTGATATGGGTGCATAGCGGAAACCAAAAAAGGCTATGCATAATACACAGCAGGTTTAAGGTCACGAGTGACGAAAGTACACAGTGCTACCAGTGCATCAAATTGAGACTTGAAATTTAACGAAAACCGTTACAATTAAGTTGATAGTACAATAAATTAAGTACCGGTAACAACAAGAAACGTTTTCCAAGCACTTTTTGAGCAGATCGTTTTGCAGTAGCTCTGCGGTTGGAGACACGCTTTGTGAGCAAAAGTTATGGTTCAAGTCCTGCCAAGATTATTTCTTTGTTTCAATTTGTCATCACAGTTTTTCAAAGTGTTATCAAGAAGTAAAAGTTTTTATTTTTAAAAGTTAAAAAAAATTATCAATTTGAAATTTATCACTTGTGAAATATATACACAAATTAAGGAAGAGACTGCATGAGTTGGGGCGAATGTGTTGTACATATACTAAAAAAATTGCCACGGCCTGGCAATTTTAGGATTTTGTCGCTCCATCCCCTTGGCTATTCGCCGACGTCATGTATGCCACTATGCCAAAACCAAGCACTGATGCATGTGTTACTGATGGAGCCATATGGTCTAGGGTGGTTATGAAATCTTGCATTGTTATTCCATAAACTACATCAGTATTCTGACCCCTATTTCACAGAATCATTTCCTTGGGAGAGGTATGCGCGGTCAAAACCATCTGCAGTAGCTGTCCTTCTTCAACCTGCATGGGATACAACCTGTGATACCCCAATCGATTGGATATGAAGAAATCGTCCTACGCAAGGCCGACGGGTCTTTCAGAGGTCAAATCTCATTATCGTGTTTTTTTATGAATTGCTGTGAGTGGGATAAGTATACAGCGGTTTGCCTGTGAAGGATGAATTATTAACAGGCTAGAAAAAAAATGCAAGACAGCACGTACATCGGCCCATTGCAAAACAAGGACAGAGCGAGGTGGAACTAAATTAAACCATCATTAAAAATGCTTAATCCCAATAACTTACACCGTCACTAAAGCCCCCACTAGTTGCAGATTTTTTATTTGGACTGAGCTGGTTCCGAAACGAAATTCCCAACCTTTGGAAAGTCTGCCCCGGGCAAAAGTGACCTGAAAAAAAGACAGCTTACACTAGAACTGCGAATAAGAAAAGGCTGAACTTTATCTGAAAACAGACTCACACGTCCTTGAGTTTACAGCACCTGATCATCAGGTTTTGTCCTTTGTGTGTGTTACATTACAATGACCTTTCTGTTGACCCTGTGGCGGGACCGGAAATATCATATAGAGATATCTCTATTAAAACCGAACGTACAATATAATACAGATATTTCTATTAGGAATAGACATATCTGTATACACGGATTAAATGTTAACTTTGCACGCCATAGGTGAGTATAAATAGTTCTTTAAGCACAAGGGGCCGGGGATCCAGAACAAAACTGGCGGGCACACAATTTTTGTCTCTAAATGCAAAAGAGTAAAACACTTTCAAGAGCGTGAGTCCCTTAGGCCCTATAAGAACCACTCCAGCGAGTGAAACCAACGTTATAAAGTGTGAAAACCACCCCAACAGTAGTGAAATTTCAACTCTCTCAAGAAGGAAAAGCTCGTCAAAGAGTTGTTCCTTTATTGACTCCTCTTTTGGAGTGATGTTATAAGGGTTCTTACTCCTTTGGAAAATGAGATTTTCACTCTATCACAATCACATTAAAGAGAATGAGAAAGAATTGGGGAATTTCTTTATGTAGCCTTTCTCTGGCCTTTTGGACAACTGAGGCTACATTTTTTGCAGAAGTAGTGGCATATTCAGCAAGAGAGCGGGGAAAAGATGCCCACCAACACTGCCTTTTATTGAAAGCGCTAACACTTTCCAAACAGTATTACCGTGCATATTTCGAGGCTAGTGGTGAGGATTATTTAACCGATGAGAAAAATTGAACCGCTGTTTTTATCAAATAATCTATTAACTCCCTCTAAACTGCTGGGAAGGAAGAGAAACCAAAAAAGCGTCAATCCCTCGTTTTGAATGATTTATTTGATTTTGTAACCACCACTAGCATCGGAATTAAAATCCAGTTTTAAATTTAATTAATCCTATGACAGGAGTGTTGTGGTATCTCGTTTCGTCAGAAGGGTATGGATATAGCCCTATAGAGTGTCTTAAGTGAATGGCATGTGCTGCATGGCGAGCTGGAAGAATCCAATTACTGCAGTAAACCTTATGCGTTAAAGATGCAAAATTAAGCCTCTTCCTCTGTTGAGTCAAACTGGTCAAAATTAATGCATACATGACAAACAAGTTGGCCTATTTGCCCCCCGCCCGATATTTAGTTTGTTTACGTGAGTTCGGACTAAAATTTACACGTGGAAGCGTCATCAAACTTGTTAAGATCCTTGACTCAGTTTAAATAGTAATTATGAACTGTCGCAATTACCACGTTATTGTCGAACAATCAGAGACGACATTTATAAAGGCTGCTCGTTGAACAACGGAATTACTTTTCTGTGGCAGCACAGTGCGAGATTAGTGCAATTTGTTGTCTACCCTCATGGTAATTGTTTATGCTCTTAGATGCAGGTAGGGAGTTGAAGTAATTTTTGTCCATTCGCTCGTCTACTCGCCCTTACAGTGCGCTGGAAAAAGTACATGCTCTTCAAAATTATGAGGAAGGAAATGTGACAGAGCCATGGACAAGCAAAGCATTGTTGGCCACTTGCTGTCCGAATCCACGCAGGTACAGTAAGTGCGCACGTCGAAGCACTTCAGTGTTGACCCCTGTTATTCGAATGAACTCTACCCAGTAAGTTCTCGATAAATATTCGTCATGCATTTTGCTTTCCCGACGCCCCGTCGGGGGTGGTTGGGGCAAGCGAGTCTGTCCAATGAGCACAATGAATACCAATGGGGCACAAACCAGCATTCCATCGCACTTGACTCAGGCACACAAACCAAC